GTCTGGGCCTGGGCTTTTGTTTTGGGGAAGACTTTTGATTACAGTTTCAATTTCCTTGATATGAATGGGTCTATTCAGGTTTTCCTAGTCTTCTTGGTTCAATCTTGGTTATTATAGGAATCCAGAAATTTATCCATTTCTTCTACGTTCTCTTGTTCCGTGGCATACAGACTCCCAAAGTAGTCTCTGATGAGCTTTTGAATTGCATTGGTTTCTGTTGTCATGTTCCCTTTTTCATTTCTGATTCGGTTTATTACGGTTCTCTCTCTCTTTCTTTGTGAGTCTTGCTAGTGGTTTATCAATCTTGTTTATTTTCTCAAAGAACCAGCTCTTGGTTTCATTGACCCTTCAGATTGTTTTTTTTTTTGGGGGGGGGGTTCCACATCGTTAATTTTTGCTTTTAGTTTTATTATTTCTTTCCTTCGGCCAAATGTGGGTTCCTTTTGTTGGTCTTTTTATAAGATCTTGAATTGTGAGGTCAGATTATTTATGTAGGCCCTTTCTTCCTTTGTTAGGAAGGCTTGCAATGCTATAAATTTTCCTCTTAACATGGCTTTAGCTGCATCCCATATGTTCTGGTAGCTCGTGTCTTCATTCTCATTTGTTTCCAGGTATCTTTTGATTTTGTCCTTGACTTCCATCCTGACCCACTCGTTGTTCAACATTGAGCTGTTTAATTTCCAGGTGTTTGATTTGTTTCTCAGTGTATTTGTGTGATTCGCTTCTATCTTCAGCGCATCGTGGTCTGAAAAGATTGTTGATACCACTTCTATCTTCCTGATTCTATTGAGGTATGGTTTGTGGCCTAGCATTGGGCTATTTTGAAAAATGTTTCATAAGCACTGGAGAAGAATGTATATTTTCTTTCTTTTTGAGGTGTAAAGCCCTGTATAGGTCTATAAGCCCTCTCTCTTCTATTTCTTCCTTCAAAACCAATGTTTCCTTGCTGAGTTATGTTCTTGTTGATCTTTCCAGAAGTGATAAGGTGATGTTGAAGTCTCTGACTACTATTGTGTTGCTAGCAACGTCCTCCTTAAAATCTGTTAACAGTTGTTTTAAGTATTTAGCTGGTCCCTCAGTAGGTGCATATACATTTAAGAATGTGATTTCTTCCTGTTGTATGTATCTCTTGATAAATAGAAAATGGCCTTCGCTGCCCCTTCTAATCTTTTTCAACCTAGAATTTATGTTGTCGGATACTAGTATGGCCACCCCAGCTTTTTTGAGGGACCTGTTTTCTTGCAGGATTGTTTTCCATCCTTTAACTTTGAGATGTGTTTGCTCTGACTGTTGAGATGAGTTTCTTGTAGTCAGCAGAATGTTGGGTTCTGTCTCTGAATCCATTTTGCCACTCTGTGTCTCTTAATTGGTGAATTTAGACCATTGATGTTGAGAGAGATTATTGTTATGGGGTTTTGTGTAATCTTTTGTAAGAGTTTGTTGTACTTTTAGGGTTTGTCTTGTCTTATAGTAGGCCCTTTTGCCCTTCTTTTAGGTTTTATTTTGAGTCTCTAAAGTTCCTGAGCTGCCGTTTATCCAGAAAATAGTGTACCATTCCTTTGAGTTTGAGTGAGAGTTTAGCCAGATAGAGTGTTCTAGGTGAAGCATTCATTTCAATGACTTTTTTCACTATATCCCACCATTGCCTTCAGGCTTGGAGGGTTTCTTCTGATAGGTCTGCTGTGAATGTAAGGGGTGCTCCTTTGTATGTGATTTCCTTCTTTGACCTTGCTGCTTCAGTATTGTGTCTCTATCTGCAGCATCCATCATTCTAACTATGATATGTCTTGGGGTGTTTTTGTTAGGGTCTCTTTTAGCTGGAACCCTCCGGGCTCCTTGAATCTGAATGGCTGTATTGTCCAGTTCTGGGAATTTTTCAGCAATGATTTGGGGTTTTTTTTGAATTTTTTTTATTTTTTTATATTAAAAAAATTTTAATAGTGAGACATCATGAGGTACAGTTGCAGACTTACACATTTTTGTGCTTGGGTTTCAATTATACAATGATCAAATACCTATCACTCCAAGTTTTTGAATATTTTAGTAAGTTTTTAATGTCATTGTAATTGAGAGAGAGAATAATAATCCAAGGTTGAAATTCATCAAAAAGCAGCTATCAATCCAAGTTAATAGAAGAAATATTTCAAAATACTCAAGTCTCAGCTGCAAAATAGATGCACCTGGTAGGGTCATAGGAATTTAATATTTAAGCTGGAAACAGATGTTTTTACACTATCTCTATCATCCATATGATGCGACTGGGTTACCCATATCTGTGCAAGATAACCTACACATTAACACTAAACTTTAGGAATGAATTTCTCTAAGTAAGCTGGATTGTGAATTCACTGAAAGGCGGGTTTCTCTTTTAAATAGAAATACACTTTTTTTATTTATTTATTTTTATTAGTGAAACACCATGAGGTACACTTATAGACTTATAAATTTTTGTGCTTGGGTTTCAGTTATACAATGATCAAGTACCCATCCCTCCACCAGTGCCCATCCTCCACCACCACGGGTCCCAGCATCCCTCCCTCCCCCCATCCCCCCATCCCACCCTGCCTCTGTGGCAGGGCATTCCCCCTTGTTCTCTCTCTCTTCTTTTGGGTCCTGTGTTTTGCAAGAGAGGCATTGAGTGGCAGTCATGTTTGGTCTATAGACTACTTTCAGCATGCTTCTCCCACCCTGGGAGGATCCTCACAACACCCTTTATTTGGTGCTCTCTTCTCTATCTGAGCTTCCTTTTCCCCTAGCACGTGTGGCTGGCCTCCAAGTCACGGAGCAAAATTCCTGGTACTAATCTCAGCCATTCCTGGGTGTTAGACTCCCATTTTGTTGCTTTATGTTCCCCAGATGAATGCAATCTTTCTGTGTCTATCCCGCTCTTTCTGACTCAAGCAATGATTTGTTTAACTGTGGCTTTTTCATTGGGATTGTTTCCCTGACCTTCTGGTACTCGAATGATTCTAATGTTGTTCCTCTTGGAATCATCTCCTAGGACTCTGTTGGCTTCGTGCAGCTGATCTTCCAGCTCACTGATTCTGTCTTCAGCTGGAGCCATTCTACTGTTGAGGGCACACACTGAGTTTTTCATTTCATCTGCTGAATCTTTTATTCATGCACTTGTGTGCATAGCTTTTCAATTGCTGCTCTCATTTCTTCCTGTAATTTCTCGATTGTCCAATCCATTGTTTCTTTCATGTCCTCCTTTAATTTATTGGATAACTGTGTCACTGTTTCTTTGAGTTCATTGAACATCTTCATTACTTCATATCTGAATTCTTTATCAGAGAGGTCCCTTAGGTGAGTAACACCTAATGATGCTTCTGGACTCTTTTCATCGTCCTCTCCTCGTGATGGAGATTTGCTCTGTTTCTTTGTGTTGTTGTGGTGGTATTGAGACTGAGAGTTACACGAGATTGCTGGATATGAGTAAATTACCCACAATCCAAAATTAGGCCATGCCCACTTCTGAAGATGCCACACCCACTTTTGAAGAGGCCATGCCCCCTACGGGTACCTGATTTTGGGGGAGGAGGGGTACAACCTAAGGGATGGAGAGATCAAGCGCTGCATTGGAGGTGAACAGGAAGAGGCTCAGGGATGGTGGGCATCCCAGGGTCCTAGAGGATGCCTGGGATGCTTACGCAGCGAGAGCGAAGTCCCAGGTTTGAATAAAGACTGACCTGAGGGATGGAGACATCAGGTGCAGCATTTGAGATGAACAGGAAGAGACTCAGGGATGGTGGGTGGCCCAGGGTGGATGTTACTTTAATGTGTTGATTTCACACTAAGAACAGGGAAGACTATCAACAAAAAACTAGCCAATGCTGAGCCTAGAGAGATAATACAGAGGGTAGGGTGCTTGTCTTACCACACAGCTGACCCTGATTCAATCCCCTGCATCCACGTGGTCCCTTGAGTCTCACCAGGAGCGATTCCTAAGTGCAGAGCTAGACGTAACCTCTGAGTAACAGGAAGGAAGGAAGGAAGGAAGGAAGGAAGGAAGGAAGGAAGGAAGGAAGGAAGGGAGGGAGGGAGGGAGGGAGGGAGGGAGGGAGGAAGGGAGGGAGGGAGGGAGATAAAAGTATGAGACTAGAGATTTTGAGAGAAAAGTCAAGGGACAAAAAAATTTGAAGTCTTTGTTATAAATACTATTTGACTATAGAAGTGAAGATTTATCTCTAATGAAGAAGAAAGATCTAAAGAATGAAGGAGGGGGAGGACGAAAAACATAGAAAGAAGAAAAGTCAGATAATCTGGGAAATGCAAGTGAAGTAAAAGTCCATATAAAATAACTAAAAAAAGAAGGTTGGGGGGTTGGATATACAGTGCAGTTGATGGGGCACTTGTCTTGCACACAGCTCACCAGGTTTGATCCCTGGCATTCTATATAGTCCCCCAAACTCCACCAGGTGTGATTCCTGAGTGTGGAGCCAGGAGCAGCCCAGAACATAACAGAGGGTAGTCCAGAAATAAAAAGGAAAAAAAGGTGGGGGATGAAAAGAATAAGAAAAAGGAGAAGAAGGAAAGGAAGGGGAAGTGATGGTCAGAGAACAGGAATCTGAATGATAAAAAAGAAAACAAAACCAATTTTTCTTGTCTGACATTCATAACAACCTAACAGAAAACACAAGGCTAATATCATTATTCTCACTCAGAAAAAAAAAAGAAGAGGGGCTGGAGCGATAGTACAGCAGGTAGAGCATTTGCCTTGCACGTGACTGGTCCAGGTTTGATCCCCAGCATCCCATATGGTCCCCCGCGCACCACCAGGAGTAATTCCTGAGGGCAAAGCCAGGATTAACCCCTGAGCATCGCTGCGTGTGACCCAAAAAGCTGGGGAAAAAAGATTAAAGAAGAAATTAGAACCAAGTACATACTTAGTGAATGCTATATATGTATGAGGCCCTGGATTCAATCTCTAGCACTACAAAAAAAATGGGTAGCAGGAAGATTACATAAGAAAATGGTCCTTAAAGGTGCTGAGAGACTAGTTAACAACTCCACACACAGGCTGTCCCGTCAGCTGCAGCAGAAAACACTTAGGTCTGATCCAGACTCAAAGTCAGATGTAGGACTCTGCCTCTGTGGCCTGTGGGACAAGGGAATACAGTCATCACTCCCAGGAGAAGAGATTTAGTCAAGAACTGGAACACCCTAAGATGGAGCTAGCAACTGCATCCAGGGAAAGGGCTTCTGGGAAAGGGCTTCGTCTGGGCCAGAGCTAACACCGCTGCTACACTTTGGCTGGGGTAACCACTAATCACAAGTGACACTATAGGGTATTTAGGAACATGCTAAAGTGGCTGAGGCTTTGCTTCAGCATCTCCCTTCAGGAATTTTGCCATTTGTGGTAGCTCCTAAGATGACCTAACAAATAGTCACATACTGTATGCCACTCATTTCTGGAGATCATAAATCCAAAAGCAAGCACGGGGCAGGCTGGCTTCCTCTAGAAGCTCCAAGAGAGATTCTGTCCTTCATTCTTTGGGTCCTGACAGCTGCCGGCAGTTCTGATCTGTGGCCATATCACTCAAACTCTGCCTCCATAATCACAGTGTTCTCCTTCTGTATGTCTGCTGTGTGCTGGTGTCTCTTTTTTGTTATGTTTTGATTTGGTTTGGGGATATACACCGCGATGCACAGGTTTACTCCTGGCTCTACACCCAGGATCAGTCCTGATGGGTCTTAGGGACCATGTAGGACGCTAGGGATCAAATATGGGTCAGCCGCTTGCAAAGCAAGCACCTTACCCACTGTCCAATCTCTCCAGCCCTCTTCTGATGTCTCTTATGCACTTGTCACTTTATAAGTGGGCCTGGGTACCACCTGGACAGTCCCGGATTCCCTCATCTCAAGATTCTGATTTACAGTGACAAAGCCCCCTTTTCCAAATAAGGTTACATTCCTAAGTTCAAGAAAGTTGTCATGATATATTTTCTTCCCAAAGAATGATGACTGTGGTTAAGAGACTTAGTAAAGGTATGGTTGTTATCTAGAATAACTTTTCTCAAACGTTTTTGTTACCACACCCCACAGTCAAAATTGATATTTTGTGCAGCAACCCTAAAAGAGGGACACAAATGTACTTGATAACAATAATGAAAATCTCAAAACTTTCCCATTTAACCCATCTTATTTAATTGTTAATGCTGATATTGGCTCATTACATCAATGAACAAATTGATCACAACCATAATTTGAAATAATCAGAGTCAGATGTGAAACAACCAGGATAATGTAGACAGTGATCCTTGCCCCAAAATGGAAACCTGACTCGCATGAGAATACGTGGACATTCTGTACCTTAGCCATCTCCTGACATAGAGTAGCGCTCTCCGAAGTGTATTTGTGGAACAAGTTCCTGAAGGTGCTCCACACAGAAGAGTTCACAAATGCATTTGCTGAACACTAAAAACCATTACCTCCTCTTAGAGATTCACAATATACATAAGAAAACAAAGGCTTTGAGACATCTTTAGGAACGAAAATCTGTTCTTTTTAACTCAGAATTTCCAAACTTATCTGACCATATAACTTTTACTTGTACAACAACCATCCTGCTAAATACTCTTGAGAAACTTGTTCTATATAAGTGACTGGTTAGAGATGCAAATTTGTCCCTATAAGCTCAGACATAACTGCATCTTTTCCATTCACGTACATTTTAAGAGGATAAAAGGTTAAATAAATATACTTTGTGTACTTCTATATTTTCAATTTCAAAAATCACAAGGTGTTGAAATTAAAGAATCTAGTTTCTCTAACCATTTGCTGTTTATTTCAAATGCCAAGAAATTTATTTGAGTTTAGATGTCCCCACCTTACTAAAGAAAGTAACTTGCTGTTGAACTGCAATTTTATGAAAATCTAGGTTCTAAGATTTGATTTAAAATATTTCCCTAATCGCTTGGGATGGGAGATGTGTGCTAAAAGTAGACAAAAGACCAAACATGATGGCCTCTCAGTATCTGTATTGCAAATTATGATGCCCAAAAGGAGAGAGATACAAAGAAGGAAGGTGCCTGCCACAGAGGCAGGGAGTGGGATGGAGTGGGGGTAACAGGAGGGATACTGGGAACATTGGTGGTAGAAAACGTGCACTGGTGGAGAGATGGGTGTTCGATCATTGCATGACTAAAACTCAATCATGAAAGCTTTGTAACTGTATCTCACAGTGATTCAATTTAAAAAATTTAAAAACAAAAATAAATAAATAAAATGTCTTCCTATAGATAGTATAGGGATTACGACATTTGCTCTATATGAAGCTAGTCCCAGTTCAATCCCCAGCAACACAATCCCCCAAGCACTGTGAGGAGTAACCCCTGAGTATAGAGCCAGATGTGGTTCAAAACCCAAAGTCTATGTATATGTATATATATAATATAGCTGTTTAAATTTGTTTTATTATGAACCAATGTGATATAAAAAATAACTTTCATAAAATTAAGTAAAGTTTTTAAGTAATAAATTAAACTGTTTCTCTAATCTTAGAAGATCTAAAAAGCCCTGGTGAATTATGTTTTATGATTTTAATGTATGCAAATATTAAGCCCATGTTCCCCCTACATTCATGTCTGACTACTAATGTAACTCTCTCAAGGGCTGCCTGTATTTCTATTACTAAATCAAACAGTATAATTAGTAAAAGAATATAAAAGTCATCAAACCAAAGACCAAGTCTCTCTGACCAGCATATTTCCAACAGAAGCAGAAAGCCTTTTTGTTACAAATATTTAGTTAAGGGTAATACTGCAAACTATTATTACTAAGTAATATCATATGTATTTGGTTTTTGTCTGTCTTCTCTCATTAAAGTGTGGATTCCTTTAGGTAGAGATATTATCTATCTTGTTCACCTTTATATCCCTAGCACCCCATAAAGTCACTACTGGTAGTGTTGGTGCATTAAATAAATTCCAAGGATTGATCTGGAGACAAGGTTCAATGGAGAGAAGATGGAATATGTAATCAGTCCTGTAAGAGATTAGATATCAGGACTCTGTTCCTTCACTGACCATCACCAGAACAGGGTAGGAGGCATCTTATTAATCCTTGAGTCTCTCTTAGCATTCCAGATTGCCCCAAAAAAGATATGAAACCCTTGAAGACAAAACCTGGGTCTTGTCACCCATCAGAGTCTTGCTCTCAAGAAATAATCATGGACTGCACAGGAAAGGGGCAGTCATGTGCCTTAAAAGAGCTCCCAGAGGGACTGGAGCAACAGCACAGTGGGTAGGGCATTTGCCTTGCACTTGGCCAACCTGGGTTCAATTGCCAGCATCACATATGGTCCCCCAAGCACTTTCAGAAAAATTCCTGAGTGCAGAGCCAGGTGTAACCCCTGTGCATCGCCAGGTGTGACAAAAAAAAAAAAGAGCTCCCAGAGCCTCCCAGTCTTCCATGGCCCCACCACATTGCCTTCCATTGCCTCCCACATATTCCAAAATGGCTGTTGTTCAAATAAGGTGAGTTCTGATGCTAATTCTGAAGTCCAAATATCCAGTTGAATGATTACCCGTGATCATCACATCATCCTTAAGGAGAAATTGTGACAATGTGAGTCAAGTTCACGTTCCTCTACACACTCCTTGAAGCCTGGTATAGGTTTTTTCTTGTAATTAATTTCAAATAATCGAAAAGAGAAAATCTTTCATTTGGGATTTTTCCTGCCAGTGACTGCTAACTTGCTATAGGTACATGATACACACTTACCCCTGACATTTACATGATATTTACTTACCCAAAAATCCACTGGACTTGACCAGAGAAGGACAAATCCACATGGTGACATCATTCTTAGGAGTCCCCTGTCCCATTGCAGTTGCAATCCCCTTTGTCTTGGGCAGCCAGATTAGGGAACATATCTGTTAAAACAACCAAAAAATGCAAAGTTATGGCAAGTTATGATTCATTGTTAATGTACTTTTGGGTGGGGGGTGGTTAATTTGGGGCCACAACCAGCTGTGCTCAAGGCTTACTCCTGGTTCTGCATACAGGAATCACTTCTGATGGATTCAAGGGACCATATGGCATTTTCAGGATCAAACCTGGTTCAGCTGCATGCCAGGCAGTCACCTCGGCCATAGTACTTGCCGCCTGAGTGTGCTTTAAACCCAATCTATGTTCTGACCACCATTCACCCTTCCATCCACATTTGGGGTTGGGATATTTTAAAAAAGTAAACCTGCAGAGTACAGCAAAAGTGACAAAGCAGAAGCACCCTTCCTCCTGCTCTTGACAGTGGTTCTCCTTCAGAGGGGTACACTCTGGACCCAAGGTCAGCACTCAATGCCCATGTCTCTGGCAATAGTTCTCAGCTGAGAGATAGTAAAGTGACCAACATCAGAGCAGACACTACCAGTTTCAAGGAAAGATGGTTTGGAATACAGTTCCAATCTGAATCATTTCAGAATCTCATCCAGGAGAATCTAAATTTTGCCCATAATGTGGACAATGATGAAACTAAGGAGAAAAAGGCAAAGGCAGAGCCAGAGGCCAGAGAAAGAGAGGGATTGAGAGAGGGAGAGAGAAAGAGATTCTTTCCCTAATACTGAGCAATTAGGTTATATAAAATTTCCACTGTTACAAGTCATGTTGGGATGATCATCCATGCACCTGACATTATATCAACATCTGACAAAATGCTAGGTCAAGTGATACTAATGTTGCAAAGGGTCTTAAAATGTATTATTATATCCATTTCCAAGAAGTTTGTCTCAACACTCCTACCAACTCTGTACTGGTGTGTGTGTGTGTGTGTGTGTGTGTGTGTGTGTTTTCTTTAACTTTTTAGGCATGATTTATTTTTTGGATGAGAAAACTAAGGCTAAAGTTATAGTCTACTATATTAACAAAGAGGAGAAAACAACAAATGCAGGGATCTAATGATATTAAATATGTTATTCAAGATAATAATCTAAACAGCTGATTTTACCCAAAAATTCTCATTAGTGGCTTGAGAAAATATATTTACTTTTTGGCTCAAGTTTAAACTTAAGTTTGGTTCCAGTTACCTACTACCAAAAACTCTGGCCTATGGAAATGGGTTGTCTTTCAGAAGAGTGATGACAAAATCCAAAACAATTTCTGGGTAAAGAAAGTCTAAGAAAATTATCAAGTGACTTAGTTTGCATGTGTGAAGAAGAGTTAGTCATTGCTCTTCAAGTTAAAGAAACTCTTACATTGGGTATGGTGCCACTAGCAGGTCAATCTGTACCTGTGAGGCGAGTGCATCAGCAGCCTGATGGTGCCTTCAGATTCCAGATACCCCAAAATTGCTGCTGTGCCTTTGGCCAGACCCCAACAATTTGGGGCCAAGTTACCAAGACAGTAAATGGCCAAAAATAAGGTATGTGGGAGACACACCCACAAACCATATCCGGCTCAGCTATATAATTGGAAGCAAGGCCTCTCTGGTTCCTGATCAAACTGCCTAATGGACATGATTCCAGAGACTCAGAAACAAACCTTGGAACCCAACGGCTTTTGGCAGAAATGGGTCTGGGCCCCACAGTAGGTTACTGGCGCCAGGCCACCCCAGGAGAGAATGGGTGCTGTCCCTCTGCCTGCTGCCTCTTGGCAGCTTGGTGGCCACAATCCTCCAGAGGCCATTGGACAGTCAGGTTTGGGCCTGCAGTGACAAGACATGCAAGGCCTCATGGAATGGGGGTGGAACGGCCCTTTCCTCCCCACCACAATGAGACCCTGAGTTACCGCCCACAAATGGCCTCTCTGGCTCCTGATCAAGCTGCTTAACGGCCATGACCCAAGAGAGTCAGAAACAAATCTTGGAATCCAGCGACTTTTGACAGAAATGCGTCCAGTCCCTGCAGTAGGTTACCAGTGCCAGGCAACCCCAGGTGCAACTAGGTTTCGTGCCTTGGCCTGTTCCCCCTGGTGGCTCGGTGGCCACCATCCTCCAGAAGCCGTTGGACAGTCAGGTTTGGGCCTGCAGTGACAAGTCATGCAGGGTCTCACAGGATGGGTGTGAAATGGCTCTTTCCTCCTTGCTCCAATAGGACCCTGGGTCGCTGCCCACAAATGGCCTTTCTGGCTTCTGATCAAGCTGCTTAATGGCCATGATCCCAGAAACTCAGGAACAATTTCAGGAACCCAGCAGGTTTTGGCAGAAATCCCTCCAGATTTAATTGTTAAAATTTCAGAATCCCAAAATTGCATAGCCACTACTGGGGCCACATGACATCATATGTTATCCATAATCACCAATAGAAAACAAATTGTCTATGGTTGCCTTTTTGGCAGATCTAAATGTTGGGATAAAATCTCAAATAATAATGGTGGGTCTGGTGTCTAAATATTGAATGTAATCAAAGTAGAGAAAGAGTAATGTGGAAATCATCTGCCCCACAGATAGGGGAAGGGTGTGGGATAGGGGTATACTAGGGTTTTTGGCAGTGGAAAATGGGCACGGGTGAAGGGACAAGTGTTTCATCTTTGTTTGACCGAGACTTAAACCTGAATGAAAGCTTTGTAAATGCTCTCACGGTGATTCAATAAATAAATTTATAAAAAGGAAAAAAAAAGTAAGGTGGAGTTCACGCCCAATTCAATCAGCCTAATCAATGGCTGAATAAATAGCAATACTCCTACATTAAAAAGAAAAACAAAAATAAATTTTAAAGAAAGGAACGGTGAATGATGGGCACTGGTGGAGGAATGGGTACTTGATCATTGTTTAACTGAAACCCAAGCACAAAGTTTGTAAGTCTATAACTGTACCTCATGGTGTTTCACTAATAAAAAATCCAAAAGTAAAAAAATATAAAAAAAACATTAAAAAAAAAAGGAACTCCATTTCTTACCTTACCAAATTCCATTTCTTACCTTAACTGCTGTGGACTGGATTATAAATTTTAGTGGCTGACTCTGCACGTTGGTCATGAATCATGGGGCCATAGAGTCAGCAACCCATCACAACAGCCAGTGGAAAGCATCCTGCTACCTGGGGACCACTCTAGAGCACACACAGCTTGCTTGTGGTGAAGAGTTCCAACATCATGACAAGCTACCCGAACATAGTGATGATGCACATGGCTAGTCTCGCTCAACCCACTGCATGAAGAGAAAGGGACAGCAGGATTAGTACAAAAAACTTGAGTCCTGTGGCTTTCAAATGTTTGAAAGTGTTTGAAAACATGGAGAAAAGTACGTTTCAAACTACCAAAAGCCCTTAAGACAGATTCAAAACATAGGCAGATATTACTTAGATTAATGAGAATTGATTAAGGTGAAAACCAGTGAGAGAAATTTGTTGGACAGTTTCAAATGAGGATATTAAAAAGGCAAAGTTTGATAGCTACCTCTGTATCACTGTACCACTGTCATCCTGTTGTTCATCAATTTCCTCGAGCAGGCACCAATAACGTCTCCTTTGTCCTAGCCCTGATATTTTAGAAAGTGCCACATTCGAGGTTCTTTCAGGGTCAGGGGAATGAGACCCATCATTGTTACTGGTTTTTGGCATATTGAATACGCCACGTGGAGTTTTCCAGACTCTGTCGTGCGGGCAGAATACTTTAGGTAGCCTGCCAGGTTCTCCAGAGTAAGAATTAGATGATAAGATTTCACTCAGCCGCATTTCACTCAGCCGCATTCGCGCTTCCGGGAGCTGGGTTTTATAGTCTCTGTGTCTTGGCCACTGATGGGATTACATGGCACTGGGGGCAGTTGGTGGGCCTACCTACTGGAAGATGGGAGATCTGGGTGGAAGAGGCCCAGTCCCAATCCGAGCAGGCTTGGAGATCTCAGCCCTAGGTCCTGCATGCCTGGGTTCCTCTGCTGGTTCCTTCATGTGTGAGGCTTGTCCAAACGTGTGGAGAGTGGTCTCAGCATGGCTGTGGCTGGTTCCGGAGGTCTTTGGTTGCCGGGGCTCTGCTTGGGGCGGGGAGGGAAACTCAACCTGCCTCCCTTCAAGAGGCCCCAGTGAGGACAGCCAGGCATGGGGGCAGGAGACTCTGTGCTGTTCTATTCCGGGAGCTGGGTTTTATAGCTACCTCTAATGGATTTAATATGATACAGGCAGGTATAGAAAAAATGATTGTCCCAGATTGTATCATATGTACTGGACCTAAGAAATAATTACTTTTCTGGAATTTATAATATCTCATATAATCTCAATGAAATTGTTATAGTATACATAAGCTTATATAAAAATACTAGTCATTGAAATTTTATTATTTTACTATTAATTTTAGATACACTATTAGTTTTGCTAAAGCTAATATTTAATATTGTATTGTAGCACTGTCCTCTCGTTGTTTATCAATTTTCTCGAGTGGGCACCAGTAACGTCTCCATTGTGAGATTTGTTGTTACTGTTTTTGGCATATCAAATATGCCACGGGGAGTTTGTCAGGTTCTGCCGTGAGGGCGGGATACTCTCCGTAGCTTGCTGGGTTCCCCAAGAGGGACGAAGAAATCAAACCCGGGTCAGCTGCATGCAAGGCAAAAGCTCTACCCACTGTACTAAACACATCAAATTGCAATATGTTTAAAATCAGTGGATAATGTCTCTAGTTACTCTAGTGATTTAATCAAACAACAATAAATATCCTATAGTTATATAAAAGACAGTCAACTTTCTGCCTTAATTTTTCCCAAAGGAGCAAGTAAATAATCACTTAAAACTATTACTGAAATGTCTCAATCTTCAGTACCAATTTTATAAAATATCAGGCACAGCATTAAATACTACTTTAATGAACAGTGATAGTATGTTCTCTGGGCCAAACAGCTCAACAGTCTAAGCACATGTTTGCATGTAAGAGACCCATGTTCATTCCCTGGCACTGCATGGTCCTTCAAGTATACCAGGAGCGATTCCTGAGCACAGAGCTAGGGTAGCCTCTGAGTAGTGAAACATGGCCCAGAAATCAAAACACAGTAAAAACTCTGAAGGCAACAAGCTATTTTTAAGGTTGGACTCAATTTAATGTATTAACCATGTGATCTCAGACTAACATCTTGGTCTACTCAGTTTTTTTAAAGGGTAAGGAATAAGAATCTAGTGTTATTTTAGGGGTTAAAATATGGTTCTAATTATTACTGCTTTGTAGTAGAGTTTGAGGTTTGGGAAGATGATGCCTCCCATCTTCTTTTTCCCCAGAACTGCTTTAGCTATTCATGGGAGTTCGTCATTTACCTATGAATTTCAGGAGTGTTTAGTCCACTTTCTTGCAGAATGTCATGGGTATCCTTATAGGGATTGCATTGAATCTGTATAATGCTTTGAGCTCCCATTTGACCCAGCAATACCACTTCCGGGAACATACCCCGGAGAGGCAAAAAGTATAGTAGAAATGACATCTGCACTTGTATGTTCATTGCTGCACTGTTTACAATAGCCAAAATCTGGAAAAAACCTGAGTGCCCAAGAACAGATGACTGGTTAAAGAAACTCTGGCACATCTACACAATGGAATACTATGTAGCTTTTAGAAAAGATAAAGTCATGAAATTTGCATATAAGTGGATCAACATGGAGAGTATCATGTTAAGTGAAATGAGTCAGAGAGGGACAGACATAGAAAGATTGCACTCATCTGTGGAATATGAAGTAACAGAATAGGAGACTGACACCCAAGAATAGTAGAGATAAGGACCAAGAGGTTTTCCCTTACAGCTTGGAAGCCGACCTCACATGCTGGAGGAAAAGGCAAGTCAGACAGAGAAGAGAACACCAAGTAAAGGGTGCTGGGAGAACCCACTCGGGTTGGGAGCTGCCGAAAATAAACAGACTATAGACCGAACACGATGGCCACTCAACATCTCTATTGCAAACCAGAATTACCCAAAAGGAGAGACAGCAAGAGCAAATGCCCTGCCACAGAGGCAGGGTGGGGAGGGGAAGGGGTTTGGGGATGGGAGGGATACTGAGATCATTGGTGGTGGAGAATGGGCACTGGTGGAGGGATGGGTAACCAATCATTGTATGACTGAACCGCAAACACAAACGTTTGTAAGTATGTAACAGTAGCTCATGGTGATTCACTAATTAAATAAATAAATAAATAGCACTGTAGCACTGTCCTCCCACTGTTCATCGATTTGCTCAAGCGGGCACCAGTAACATCTCTATTGTGAGATTTGTTGTTATTATTTTTGGCATATAGGATATGCCACAGGGAGCTTAAATAAACAAATAAATTAAATTAAATAAAAGATGGTTCTACACAGAGAGTAAAGCATAGGACCTGGCACAAAGTAGTCCAAAGTAGCTGCTATTGTTATTTAAAAGTTTATGTTTAGGGCCAGAGCGATAGTACAAATGGTAGGGCATTGGCCTTGCACGAGGACGAGAACAGTGCAGTCTTTTGCCCCCGCGCCTGGGTGTCCCTCGCCGGGACCCCTTGGAGGGGAGCGGGTCGAGCTTTCCTCCCCGCCCCAACCAGGGCTCCGGCAGCCGAAGACCTCCAGGACCAGCCACCACCATGCTGAGACCACTCTCCGCACACATGAAGGTACTGGCAGAGGGACAAAGCCACGTGGGTTCTGGGGCCGAGACCTCCAAGCCTACTCGAATTGGAGTCGAGCATCTTCCACCCAGATCCTCCAAATTCCAGTAGGCGGGGGTCACACCCACCACCTGGGCCCCTGGCGCCGTGTAATCCCATCAGCGGCCAAGACACAGAGACTATAAAATCCAGATCCCGGACGAGAACAGTGCAGTCTTTTGCCCCCGCGCCTGGGTGTCCCTCGCCGGGACCCCTTGGAGGGGAGTGGGTCGAGCTTTCCTCCCCGCCCCAACCAGAGCTCCGGCAGCCGAAGACCTCCAGGACCAGCCACCACCATGCTGAGACCACTCTCCGCACACATGAAGGTACTGGCAGAGGGACAAAGCCACGTGGGTTCCGGGGCCAAGACCTCCAAGCCTACTCGAATTGGAGTCGAGCATCTTCCACCCAGATCCTCCAAATTCCAGTAGGCGGGGGTCACACCCACCACCTGGCCCCCTGGCGCCGTGTAATCCCATCAGCGGCCAAGACTCAGAGACTATAAAATCCAGATCCCGGAACCGCGCGGCCGCATTTGCGGCCGCGCAACATCTTATCAAAACTTTTTTTTTATGACATCTTATTATCTCATTCCTACTTTGGACAAACTTGCAGGCTATCGAATGTAGCCTGCCCACAGGGCAGAGTCTGGCAAACTCCCCGTGGCGTACCAAATATGCCAAATACCAGTAACAATGATGGGTCTCATTCTCCTAAAGAGCCGTGAATATAATCTCAGGGCTAGGATGAAAGAGATGTTACTGGGGCCTGCTCGAGGCAATCGACGATTAACAGGATGATGAAATGAAAAAAAATGAAAATGAGGCCGACCCAAGTTCCATCCTCTGAGTCCCATATGGTCCCCCAAGCACTGCCAGGAGTAATTTCTTAGTGCAGAGCCAGGAGTAACCCCTGAGCATCGCTTGGTGTGACTCAAAAAGAAAAAAAAGGTTTATGTTCGGCAGCAGGCTCTGTGGCTCAGTGGAATGTACATTGGACTTCTAGAGGCAGGGGGTGGGAAGGGGTGGAGGTGGCGACAGGGATACTGGGAACATTGATGGTGGAGAATGGGCACTGGTGGAGGAATAGGTACTTGAACATTGTAGGACAGAATCGTAATCATGAAAATTTAGAAGTCTGTAACTCTATCTCACAATGATTCATTAAAATAAAATTTTTTTTCAAAAAGTTTATGTTCAGACCAGAGAAATAGTATGTGGGTAAGGCCTTGCACACATTTGACCCACCCAGATTCTATCCCAGCCCCTCCAGGAATAATCCCTAAGCCCAGAGCCAGAAGTAAACCCTGAGTACCGACGGGTGTGTCCCAAACCCCCAAAATAAACAAAAAGTCTATGTTCACAGACCTCATAAATAACAAGACTAAACTTACATAATGAATATTATAGAATCATCTAAACTAAATAATTTAGATAACTGTAGAAACATCTCCGGATAAATATATAGGTCTTTGAGAGCATATTGTCTGATTGGTCTCTAAACTTGGCTTATTATCACAAAGTAGTGTAATCTTGAAACAGAAATATGATTCAATGGTAAGGCACTTAAGTGTTCTTCATGTGGGAGGCTGAGGTTTGACATTTAGAATCACCAAAAAAGAAAAGAAAAAAAAGTTTTGAAATCTCTTCTGAGCTACTTAAAGAAACATCTGAGCTACTTGAAGAAGCAGTAAATAGCTCTGGAATTTATTCAATTAAAACTTACTTTAAGAAATACTGTATAAGGACTGGGCAATCGTACACTCAACTAACCTGGGTTCAATTCCTGGCAACATGTGGCCTCCTGAGCATCATCAATTATAGCCCTGGAAGTCTCTGAGCATCACCCGGTATAGCCCTGAGAGCCCTGGTGGCTCCTGGCACCACAGGACCCAATCAGCGCCACATCATCAGACCCTTGATTGAATCACCAGCCCAGTTAGCCAAGTATTAACAGAAGTGACACCCGGTACCCTGGTCACCACTTGGGAAGCCCCAAAACACAAAAACAAAAAGTAAACTACAATGGGGCTGGAGCAATAGCACAGTGGGTAGGGCGTTTGTCTTGCACGCATCTGACCCGGGTTTGATTCCCAGCATCCGATATGGTCCCCTAAACACCGCCAGGAGTAATTCCTGAGTACAGAGCCAGGAGTAACCCCTGTGCATCACCAGGTGTGATCCAAAAAGCAAAAAAAAAAAAGTAAACTACAATATAAAGATAAGCGGTTGTTATTAAAATCAAAATACAATTTTAGATCATATTATGGAATCATAGGGACAAATCACTTAACATCTGGTTAAAAAACCACTTAGAATAAGTCAGAAAACTGAAGTGGCAGGAGCAGCAACATTTGGGAAATTAGAAATGCAAATGATCACATAACCGGACCTTCAAACAACTATGTCAGAAATTCCTGTAGCATGGGCTGTGACCTGAGCTCCAAGGAGGCCCCCAGGTGACATAGACGCCTGCTCAAGGCTGGAAATCACTGGCTTCTCTTGAGGTTCCCTGCAGCTTCAAACCCCTGTAAACTGGAGCTGTGCCCAGAAAATTTAATATATTCCTAATTATGGACACTGGAGTCAGAGGTCGTACAGGAGGTGTACTTGCCTTGCAAGTGGCAGGTTCAACCCCAGAGCACAGCCATGTGTGATCCTTGAGCCAGAGTAAACCCTGAGCACTTCCTGGTATGGCCCAAAAATCAATTAATTAATTAACTAATTAATTATGAATGCTAGAGGCAATAAATCCTTGACTTCAGCTAGATAGCTTGGGGCATTTGTACGTGTAAATATTTGCACATAAATGTGTACCTTATACAGAGAATTTTTTTTGCCTACCTGGATATTTATAATTTATCTGAAAAATAAATCAAATACTTCATCTTATATGACACTCCTAACACCTGCTGTAGGTATATAAGTCCCATGGTATGCAGGTTATCACTTACATGCACAGAAGATCTGAATAGCTGCGAGGGTCGGATCCTAAGAGATACTAGCGCAAATGGGTTTGGTTTTAAAACTTCTGTTCTCTCAGCACCCATAATCAACTGGTGGCACAAATATAGCAGCCCCAGTAAGATGTTTCTTACCTGCTGAGGATACAGTGATTCCAGTTCAGAGCACGGACTACTGTCAAATGACCCTGCATGTTTCTCAGCCATCTTTCAGTTACCACATTCCATAGCTGGAACAATGAACAAGGAGCTTTATGTCACATGGATACTTCACAGCCTAAGGTTTTTCTCAGAGACTTTAATTACCAATTACTGTTGACACACTAACAGGTCCTTTCCTATGTGTTGCAGAGCAGAATCAATGAGGGAGCAAGCTGTGAAAGCCAGTGGTCCTGACTGAACGATGAGGCAGAGCCTGGAGATATAAGATTCCTTCATTGTAAAGTTCCTTGGTGGATTTAATGTGCAACCAAGCGCTAAGAACCATGTCACACTTCTAATTCTGTAAACATTTTCGACCTGAATGGTTGTCAACAAATGTTCTGTTTACCTCCAGAGATGTCTTCCAGCTACAAATGATACTCTATTGATGAATAAGTACCTTGGTATGAAAGTAAATCATGTTACAACCTTCAAGACACCCAATACCACCACAAAGATAATAAAGAAGTTATAGCCACCTATGGCCCTCCAAAACCATCAAACACATAGGCAATATTGTTTCCACTATTGAAAATAAGCAGTAATATACGATATATGAGAATTGGATGAAAACGTGTAAGTTGCCTTTCATTGACCTATTATCTCTCTTATCTCTCTCTCTCTCTAACACACACACACACACACACAAATACAATGTCACTCATTTTAAGTAACTCTACTCATTATGGCTTGAGCTCAGGAGTATGGAGGCAAGAAAGGAGAACAAAAAGGTCATCTTCTCTCCAAGTCCTGTAACTATGGATTCCACAGAGCCACTTTTGCTTGAGGGAAAAGACTCTTTTTTCAAAAGAGAGAAAGAAAATATGCAGGCCAGGAGATAGCTCAAGGGTCAAGGCTCATACTTTGCATGCACAAGGCCCTGAGTTCAATGCATGCCTGGTGGCACTGAATGGCCATCCTGAGCACACGAGGTCACCCAGGGGGACCCTAAGCACTGCTAGGTCCAAGTGGCACCACATCACTGGGTTGGAGTGTGGAACCATCTGGCCCAGCTGACTGAGTACTGCAGGGAGTACTGAGACCTCTGGGACCTCTGAGCACTGCTCAGAAGAATTAAAAAAATTCTTTTCAATAAAATTTTTAAAGGAAATATATACCCCAAAAATACTGTGTAGAACTAAACAAAGGATCCTTAAAGCTTAATGTCATGAAGAAAAAAAAAACAGAATAATACCTCTTCTCCCTGCCCACAGCCTCAAGTACTACATCTATTTTCTCTTATTTTATATTAGAGAGTTATTGTAGGCTCACCTCAGTTAACAGTTAACAGAGCACAGTTGAGAGGGAGAAAATTCCCCCATACCTGCTCTTCTCCTTCGCTGGTACCAACTGCCAGGCAAGTACCTCTTTGATCCAGGACCAGAAGATACATAGTTACATTTGAAACTGAAATCTGTATTTTTAATCCCATTCTGGTTTTCCCCGTTCCAGATGTAAAGAAAAGATCCAAGGACTATCACAACAAGATTTTTAAGGTTCCAGTCTATGATATTCAGATCTATTTTTAAAAAGCACTTCAAATTAGGGTGATAGTAAGCCAAATAAAATACTTTCAAATAGGCAATTTTTAAAAGCACTACAAAGAAAAAAAATAATAAATTGACATAGTCAGGAAACAAATGTTCAGTTCTAGTTATACAATCACAGTATAAATTAAAAAACTAATACTTCCTCAAAAAATAAAATAAAATAACATTAAAAAGCACTACAAATTAAGGTGATCCTCAATCTAATAAAACAGTTTGACCTATCTACCTTGGTTGAGTTCCAAAGTTCAATTTTTCAGTCAGATTTGGTTCTTTTAATCCACTGATTCCTATAAGAACTGATCTATATCTTAAGATTTAAAACAAATCCAAAGGAATGGGGCCAGAGCGATACTATAGCTAGTAGACCCTTGCCTTGCACACAACCAATCCCTTTTTTGATGCTCAGCATACCAGATGGTCCCTTGAACATCACCAGGTGTAATTTCTGAGTGCAGAGCCAGGAGTAACCCCTGAGCATAACCAGATATGGCTCAAAAAAGAAAGCTGAAGAAAAATGTCTGATAACTCAGAATTCTAAATCCAACAAAAATATCATGAAACAAGGAATAATAAAATAAGAAAGTACTTTTCAACAAACCCAAGTAGCAAGAATGCTAAAGGTACAGGGAAGTTATATGAGAGAGAAACCTTAATCTCAGGAAAGAATGATACCATTAGAATTAGTAAATATAATATTTTGGTAAACATAAAAAAATTTTAAAATTTCTCCTTTTAAGGCCAGCCACACAGGCTAGGGGAAAAGGCAGCTCAGATAGAGAAGGGAGCACCAAATAAAGGGTGTTGGGAGGATCCTCCCAGGGTGGGAGAAGCATTCTGGAAGTAGACTATAGACCAAACATGATTGCCACTCAATGCCTCTTTTACAAACCACAACACCCAAAAGGAGAGAGAGAACAAAAGGGAATGCCCTGCCACAGAGGCAGGGTAGGATGGGGGGGATGAGGGGGTGGGAGGGATATTGGGACCCGTGATGGTGGAAAATGGGCACTGGTGGAGAGATGGGTACTTGATCATTGTATAATTGAAACCCAAGCACAAAAAATTGTAAGTCTACAACTGTACCTCATAGTGTTTCACTAGTAAAAATTTTTTTAAATAATAAAATAAAATAAAATTTTTCCTTTTAAAACAAAATACAAGTGCAGAGCCAGGAGGCTCAAAGAAAGAAGGAAAGAAAGAAAGGAAGGGAAAGAGGGAGGGAGGGAGGGAGGGAGGGAGGGAGGGAGGGAGGGAGGCAGGCAGGCAGGCAGAATTTAACTTAAGGCAAAAGTCCTATTTTGTTCAGACAGGATTCGATCTTAATTTTATGAGAGTACAAATATATCTGATTGTTTCATTTCACATTTAAATTTATGATCTAAGTTATAACTTACAGTAGTCCTTTCAGAGACCACTGAGATGAATCTTCACCTCTGTTTGTAGTATGGAACGATTTACATCACTGAAACATTTAAGACTGAAGGACTCATTACTGGCTCCATCTTTGCAATCTATAAGAAACAATTTTATAAATCTCTATGATCCTAAAAACATGATATGTATCACGTATAATAAGGGATAAGAGAGTAAAAAATGAAGTAGTCATCACTATAAAACTAAGCTATAAGTTTCAAAGGGAGTCAAAGGAAAAAATAAGACTTAAGTATTAATTTTAACAAAAAACATTTTACAAAGCTAACTGCATTTTCTAATAAGAAGTATATGAATGTCAGGCCAAAATGTTGATGACTAATTTTGTGGAAAGTTTACAGAACTATAACCTCAAGCTTTGAATATTTATTCTGTTGTGTGAGATTTTCAAATCTATGTAATTTTTGCATATCTATATGTACATCACTTCACCAGTTGTCTGGTAAACATAAACTATGCCCTGAATCTGTCATAGCTTCTATATCAGACTACAGAGTTACTTTGTTGCTAGTTTTGCCCATGATTATCTGAGTCAGGGTTATATTTTGTACTCAGCTTTAATTCTCATCAAAAGACCCCACTAAGTCTAAACCATTAGCCACTGTCTTTTCATCTTTCCAACCACTTGGACTGCCATCAAAGTACAAATGACATGATCAACAGGAAGTGAGTCCACCCCAGTGACTTGTGGTCTCTGACTTGATGGCTTCTGATAAAAGCATGAAACTTCACAATGCTGTACTGGAAAGACAGACTGTTACTGCGTTAGCTGTGAAAACCTGCAGTTGTGGGAAGAACTCTGCAAGGTTTCCGGAAATACTCAAGCACCCCCTATAAAGAATCACTAAAGGTCAAAAAAAATGAATACCAAAAATATCAAAAATGAATACCAAAAAAATCCTGAAGGGCCAGAGAGATTGGACAGCAGGTAATGTGCTTTCCTTGCATGCTGCCAATCCGAACTCCTGCCCCAGCACCACATAGGGTCTTCCATGCCTTTCATTTGGAATGAGGGAGAGAGGGGATATTCAGTCATTTTTTTGTTTCTTTGTTTGCAGGGACATACCCAGCAGTGCTCAGGGTTTACTCTCAGCTCTGTATTTGGGGAAAGTTTGGCAGCGCCAATCATATGAATATGATTGCCAATCATAGTAAGAGCCTTCCACTCTATTATCTCATCAGCCCTGACAAACTTAACTTTTAAACTTCCTGTGAAGAGCTAAAATGTCACAAAATAGTCAACACAATGTTGAAGGAAAAGAAACAAGTTGAACAAACTCCATGTCTCAAGACATACTATGAAGCTGTAATAGGGGCTAAAGTGATATCACAGCAGGTAAAGCACGTCCCTTGCACACTGCCCACCCAGATTCAATCCTCGGCATCCCATCTGATCCCTTGAGCACCTCCAGGAATAATTCCTGAGAGCAGAGCCAGGAGTAATCCCTGAACATTGCCAAGTATGGCACAAAAAGAAAAAAATAAAAGCTATAGGCCTTTTTATAGTAATCAAGATATTGTGATACTGTCCAAAAAAGAAATACCAACAGAGCAGAATGATTAGCCAGAAAATACACAGTCCACTGACTTTTAATCAAGGACACAATGGAGAAAATTTAGTCTTTCCTTTCTTTTTTTTTAAAATTTTTGTAGTGAACCACCCCCCAGCCTGCCTCTTTGGCAGGAGCTTTCTCTCTCTCTTTTCTTCTTCTTCTTCTTCTCCTTCTCCTTCTCCTTCTCCTTCTTCTCCTTCTTCTCCCTCCTCCTCCTCCTCCTCCTCCTCCTCCTCATGGTTTCAATACAGATACTAAAAGGTTGTCAGGAATATCTTTTTACCTACTTGTATCACTCAGTTCTTGTCTAATGTAGTCATTTCCAGCTTCTATTGTCATACTGGTCCCTTCTCTATTTTACCTACCCTCTACCACTCACACATACTTGTGGTTGATTCAAACCAGTGACCAGTTCTCCTAGGCCCTATTTTCCCTGACCGTGAATATTTGTCTTCTAATATATATATATATATATATATATATATATATATATATATATATATTCTACTACTATATATAATATATTATATAATATATGTCGATTTGCTCGAGCGGGCCCAGTAACGTCTCCATTGGAGACTTTGTTGTTACTGTGTCTGGCATATCAAATACTCTCGGTAGCTTGCCGGGCTCTCCGAGAGGGGCGGAGGAATCGAACTCGGGTCGGCCACGTTGGCCGCTTGTAAGGCGAACGCCCTACCCGCTATATATGTGTGTGTATTTTATATACCACAAATAAATTCAGTCATTCTATATCTCTCTCCTTCTGACTCATTTTACTCAGCATGATACTCTCCATGTCTATCCACTTATAGGCAAATGTTATGACTTCATTTTTCCTAATAGCTACATAGATATGCCATAGTTTTCTTTATCCATTCATCTGTTCTCAGGCACTCAGGTTGTTTCCAGATTTTGGCTATTGTGCATGTATATATAGTGTTTCTGCAGGGTGTTTTTGAGGGCCCAGGGTATATTCCCAGAAGTGGTATTGCTGGGACAAATGGGAGCTCAATTTCTAGTTTTTTGAAGAACGTACAAATTTTCTTTGTACATTCTTTCTTTTTAAAAATCCCCCTTCCTGTTGGGAGGGTCCTCTTAGGATGAGAGAAGCATGCTGAAAGTAGACTATAGACCAAACATGATTGCCACTCATTGCCTCTTTTGCAAACCACAACACCCAAAAGGAGAAAGAGAACAAAAGGGAATGCCCTGCCACAGAGGCAGGGTGGGATGGGGGGGATGGGGGGTGGGAGGGATACTGGGATCCGTGGTGGTGGGAAATGGGCACTGGTGGAGGGATGGGCATTTGATCATTGTATAATTGAAACCCAAACACAAAAATTTGTAAGTCTAAAAAAAATAAAATAAAATAAAAATCCCCCTTCCTAAGGCTATTTTCTATTCATCAAGGGATGTGTACAACAGGAAGAAATCACACTCTTAAATGTATACGCACTTAATGAGAGAACAGCTAAATATTTAAAATAACTGCTAATGGATTTTAAGGAGGACATTGTTAGTAACACAATAGTAGCTGGAGAGTTCAACATCACCTTATCACCTCTGGATAGATCAACAAGACCAAAACTCAACAAGGAAACACTGGCTTTGAAAGAAGAAATAAAAGAGAGAGGGCTTATAGACCTATACAGGGCTTTACACCCCAAAAAGAAAGAGTACACATTCTTCTCCAGTGCACTCGGGACATTTTCCAAAATAGACCATGTGCTAAGACACAAAACATACCTCAATAGAATCAGGAAGATAAAAATAGTATCAACATAGAATTTTTGGCATATTCCTTGTAGAAATATTTCCTACATATATTCTGTCTAACAATTTATGCAGAATTTTTGTGCTTTTATTCCCCAGAAAGTTCTATTAATAAATAAGTCAGTACAAAAAAATAGTATCAACAATCTTTTCAGACCATGATGCACTGAGAATAGAAATGACTCACACACAGACACAGAGAACCAAGTCAAACACCTAAAAATTACACAATAGAGTACTATGTAGCTGTTAGAAAAGATGAAGTCATGAAATTTATATACAAGCGGTACCACGTGGAAAGTATCATTCTAAGCAAAATTAGTCAGAAAGAGAGGGACAAACATAGAAAGATTGCATTCATCTGGGGGACATAAAGTAACAAAATAGGAGACTAACACCCAAGTATAGCCGAGAAAGTACCAGGAGGTTTACTCCATGGCTTGGAGGCTAATCACACATGCTAGGGGAAAAGGCAGCTCAGATAGAGAAGGAAGCACCAAATAAAGGGTGTTGGGAGGATCCTCCCAGGATGGAAGAAGCGTGCTGAAAGTAGACTATAGACCAAACATGATTGCCACTCGTTGCCTCTGTTGCAAACCACAGTACCCAAAAGGAGAGAACAAAAGGGAATGCCCTGCCACAGAGACAGAGTGGTATAGGGGGCTGGGGGGTGAGAGGGATACTGGGATCAGTGGTGGTGGAGAATGGGCACTGGTGGAGGAATGGGTGTTCAATCATTGTATAACTGAAACCCAAGCACAGAAATTTGTAAGTCTACAACTGTACCTCATGGTGTTTCACTAATAAAATTTTTTTAAATCCCCATTCCTATTCCCCTCTCAGCTGCTGCTGTTGTTTCGGCAGTGACTGGAGATCACACACTCTGAGAGCTCAACAACAGTTACACCTTCAGTTGTGCTGCTTTCACACATGCCATCTGGATATCACATTGTTTAGTTGTGGTGTTCTCACACATTCTGACTGCAATGCTCATTGGAATCACACATTTAGTCGCAGTGGTCACACACATTTTCTCTGGGGGTCACATACAGCAGAGCAGTCAGGACCTTGCTCGGCTCACTTGGGTGTCACCAAGGATCAAACTCACACCTCGGAATGGGGGGGGGGGGGGTACACCGGGGATATTGGTGGTGGGGAATGTGCATTGGCGGAGGGATGGGTGTTTGATCATTCTGTGATTGTAACCCAAACATGAAAGCTTGTAACTATCTTACAGTGATTCACTAAAATTTAAAAAATGAAAAATAAATTTTTTAAAAAGTAAAAAAAAAAAAATTTCACACCTCAGTCTCACAGGCAAGTGCTTTTACCAATGAGCCATCATCCTTGACTTAAAAGACAGTTCAAAGAAAACAGGAACATTTCTAAAAACCTATCAAATGCTTTCAGAGAAATAAAAGAATGTAGAACATTCATGAAGCATGACAAAAATTCTAAGAAAAGAACAAACATGCCAAAAACTGGACAGAGCTGAGCTGACCACTGAGAAGCTGGGGGAGGAATAAGATGAAAACTGGACTAGAAATACAAAACTTAGAAATCCAACATAATCATTTCAGAAATAAGAAAAATAGAAACCGAAGTGAAAAGATCACTAAAGAACAATATAAGAAACTTTCCTAGTACTAAAGGTCACAGTCTCCAAACTTGAAAAGATTCAAAGGACTTTTGATTACAATGAGTCAAAAATAAATTAGTGAAAATCCACACCCAGCTTTATCATATTGAAATTTCAGAGTGCTAACGATGAAAGCTTTCTCCATGAGCATGCTGAAAGAAAAAGCAGGCGACAGACAAAGCACAGGAAGTAAATCATAGTATCATATGGCTTGTGAAGAGAAACTGTAAGAAAACAATAAAGCAACGTCCTTAAGGTTCTGGGCGTCACTAGAATTTACAATTAGTTAAACTAGGAATCATGTGCAAGTTGATTAAGTAAAAAAATGTACACCAGGACATTTTCAGGTCAGCTAACATAAAGAGCACAGAATGGTTGTCAGGAAAGAGTGGGTCAGACAGGGGAGAGGGGCTGTCCTGGATCACTGTGCCAGCGGCCAGGAGAGCAACCCACTCCACAGGGTATGGGAGGAAAGCCATGCAAGGACATGAGATGATGGGGGTGAGTGCATGGAAGAGGATATCAGTACCAGAGATCAATAAATTTGGGCCTTAGGGGAAATGGTTAGTTTCACGGATATAGACTAAACGATAACAAGAAAACATTTTTCTCCTTTGGATCACACCTAATGGGTCTGTGCTTAGGGATCATTCCTGGCTCTGTGCTCAGGAGACCATATGTGGTGCTGGGATTCAAACCGAGGCCCCAGCCTTAGCCCCATGCTTAGCAAGAGACTTTAACTTTGTACTGCCTCTCTAGCCCCTAAAGCAAAGTTGTAATTCCCAACTTTTTTTTTAATTTCCAACTTTTTAATTTCCCAGAAAATGCTATCCTGGAGAGAAAGGCAGCTCTTGGCAATGACTAACAGATACATAGTAATATGACATGAATATTGAATATTTATTTATTCAAATGATATGGGGGTTGAAGAGAGAGCACAGCAGGCAGGCTTTTTTTGCCTTGCACACACCCAACCTGAGTTCAATTCCTGGCACCACATATGATCCCCTGAGCTCCGTCAGGGATGACTCCTGAATGCAAAACCAGGAGTAAAACTGATCAACTCCAGATGTGACTCAAAAGAACTAGAATTTTTTATTATTTTAATTATTTATGTAACTTGTTTCTTATTTTGATTGTCTTGCGTTATTTTGATTATTTAATGATTTCTCTAGTATATGGGATATAAAGAACATAATAGGGGAATAACAAATGCCCAAAGGTAATGGAAAGAATGAATAAGCCAAGAACTGGTCTTCAATCGGAAACTTACCACTGGTGGGGGCATTTGTGCGGGTGAGAATAGGACAAGGAGGGGAACAGCATGACGATGCTTGAGAGAAGTGGTCACTCAGGAAGGAGGAGGAGGTGATAAAAGGAGATAAAGTGATATGCATTTTGCCATATCAGTAACAATACTGTAAATCACAAAGCCTAAAAAAAAAAAGTTTGAAGTGCCTGTCGTAGAGACAGACTGGGATGTGTGTGTGTGTGTGGGGGGGGGGGGGGGCGGGGCGTGGACAGTAATTAAGGGACTGTTGTTAGAACATTGTTTGCCTGAAATCCAACCATTAAAAACTCTGTAATTCACAACAACTAATATATATATATATATATAAATAATTTCAAAACATAAAAAGTGTGATACGATTATACTGAAGGAGGTGAATGAGGTTGAAGGAGGAATAAGCTCTTATCTGCTCTGCTACAAAGTCACCAAAGAAGTCTAATATCACAAGCAATAGCAGTTTAAAGGTTAAGCTTAGAAATTCAGTCTACATACCAGGGGGAACAACCACAAGAGCAAGTTTGGGTACCTTGAGAAAATGGGACTTAGGTGCAGGAATAGTTAAGGCAGAGGATTATGACCAATTTCACAATTAGGTTGACTTATTCAAATAAATATTAAAATAATATTTATATA